TTGGTCCCCAGATGATGGTGCTGTTTTGGGAGGTTTTAGATGTGGCTATCCTGGAGGAAGAATGTCACTGGGGGTGGGGTTAGAGAGTCTTAAACCTTGCCTGATCTCCAGTCACTCTCTTGCTTCCTATGTATGCATGATGATGTGAGAGCTTAGCTTCTGCTGCTCCTGCTCCAGCCACCTCCAGCCACCAGGCCTCCCTGCCATGGCAGACTGTAATTCCCCTGGAACCTTGAGCTCAAATAAACTCTTCCTTCTATAAATTGCTTTGGTCAGTGTTTCTATCACAGCAACAGAAAAGTGACTACTACAGGAAGTAAAAGGACAGAGGCGGCTTCCCTTTGTCAAGCAGCTAGACCTGCCCTTCTCTGTGTGCCTCTCACAATATTATTCTGCCGTTTGGTTATGTTTTATTTATGGTCCAGTATCCTTAGCAGTGGGTACTTATGGCATTTGTGATTTTAAATCTGGGATGTTATAAGTAGTGTTAATATAGATATTCACACTGTGTGTGTGTGTGTGTGTGAACCACTGAGTCATCTCTCCAGTCCCCTCTCTCTATTATTTCTGCCCAGTTTTCTTTGATTTTCTCAAACATACCACAGGCCATTTCCAACCTTCTGTCCCTGGAATGTTCTTGTCCTCAGGGTATCTGGAGGTGATTCTCCTTCATCCCCCAAGTCTTAAGTGTTACCTTTTCCCAGAGGCCACCAGTAAAACCCCAGCTAATGCTCTGCTCCCCACAAAGCCCTATCTTCAATGTCCCAGCATCTTCGCTTAATTCGTCAGCCTGTCCTCATATCCCCACCAGACCAGAGTCTCCACAAAGGCAGACCTTGTGCACGATTTGCTCACAGACATTTCTTAAGGACAGTGAGGCCATAGACAGCATTTAATAACCCTGTATGGTTTGAATACTTAGTAGCTGAATGGAGAAAATAAAAACCTCATACAAATGGGCGGGATCTGCCTGTATCGACTCGCCTTTCTTGGATAGTGTGATGGTTTGAATGCA